CACTGCACAGCTTGTGGTGGACGGAGCTAGAATCGTTCTTGATTTAGCTGAACTTGCACTAGATCTAGTAATTGTAACACTAGAAGAGGTTAAATTTGCCTTGGAAACTGCAAACAGTGCGCTTGAATTGGTGAAAGATGTAGTTGCTGTTGGAATAGATGTGTTGAATTTTATCATTCGACATGGCCTCAACGCGATAGTAGACATACAACGTATATGGTTTGAGATAGAAGTGTCTACTGCAGATTTGTTTGTGTTTGAAGTTGCAATGGATATTGACCTATTCCGAGCTGGTATGAGAACTGTTAAAGTGACTATTAATTTCCGAAATTTAGCTGAAAGTATTTGGAAAGTAGCAGTTAGTGTTATTGAAAATTTATCGGATATATTGATACCACTCAAGAAGAAACGCTCAATTGAATATGCAGACCGAGCTGATACTTACTCTAATTCATCTGCACATACAAATCAAACACTTCACATTGAAACATTTGAAAGTGAATACGTAAAATATATGAACGCTTCTGGAGTTTCAAACGAAAATGAAAATGGTTTGCGACTTTTTCTTTTCAAGAAGAACTGTAACACATTCTTAAACATATACGACTTTCTGTTTCAAGCGATGTCTCTTCTTAATGAGGTTGCCTATGATTCAAAAAAGAGTAGAGAAAATGCATCCGAGGGACTCAACGACTTAATCATGTTACGGGATAATATCACATTCATGGATGTAGATTTGAGTGAGGTCAACATAACTGAAGCCTATGTTAATTACAATATCACAGAGGAAGACATTGAATTGGAGATCTCGAAAGTAAATATGTCAGAATCTCCTGCGATTCGTGAGGCATTTGCTGTTCTGAATACATCGCACTTATCCAGTTTAAAATCATTAGAGCTTGCAGCAGAATACCAAATCGTCGGGCCATGGAAAGCAGCAATGGAAAATATTACGAGTGAGATATTTACAAAGGAAGAGTGTGTTTCGTTTGAAGACTGCCTGTTAGTGACATTTGATAAATTTTACAGTCTTTATGAAGATGTTGATTTCCTTGATGTTGACGCCATGAGAAATCTTATAATGAAAAGTAAAACACAGTTTTATCGTATTTTACGAAATGACTCACTCCGACTTGATGACGCACTTGAAATAAGTTCTGGATTTCTAGATGTCTTGGAGGAAACAGTGACGTTGAAAATATTTTGTGCTGAACCCCCATTGATATTGAATGAACTCGTTAATACGACGATTTCAGAAAATGAAGAAATAGTATTGTTTTGCAATGCGATTGGCGACCCTGCACCTACCATCACTTGGTATAAAGATGGTACTTTGATTTCTAAAGATATGAAGTTACTGCTTGGTAATGCAACTCTGTCAACAATAGGCTGGTATAAATGTGCAGCAAGTAATCATGTCATCAACGTTACATCTGATGAAATATTTATTGATGTGTTAACACCACCGACAGTCACAAATTTCCTCCAAGACGAAACTGTTATTGCTGGACAAGAACCACCGTTTCAAATTATGTGCAATGTCACTGGACGACCTACTCCAGATGTCACTTGGTACTATTCTATTGATTCACAAACATTCACTATATTTTCAAGTGGTGGAACACATCTGCTATTTGATGACATACATACAGTTAAAATGGGATGGTACCGATGTGAGGCTTCAAATTCAATTGGCAGATACGTATCGAATACGATGTCAGTAAAGGTTTTGAAAACATCCCTAGCTATTGCCACTGCTGAACTGAATTTTCAATTCTACCAGTCGACGATCGCTGTAAACAAGCCAGAAGTTCACCACGACTCTTTAAGCAATCTAGAAAGGAAATTCTCAGCCGCCATTGCGTATATTTTGGGGCAAACCGAATTGCTACTTACAGTGAGTGTACTAAATGCCACAATAGATGACGGATTAATATACGGTCATGTGCATTTGATTATAAAGGGAGCTAATTCGTCTAGAATGAATGACCTAAATATGGTGCACTCAGAACTGCAATCAATCTTCGAAGAACGTGTTGAAAATGTTGAACGTTTCGTCAACGCATTGGAATATGCATCATATGAAGATAAATATCTGTTCACAATAGACGATATACCTATAAACATGAAGAGTGGTACCTTGCGATATCAACATATTGAACCAGTCTGTCCACATGGACGAGAATCGATGGACAACTTGCCATT